CATACTTTCTCCAGCATGAATCACATAGTAATGGTATCTGCAAGCAAAGCCCTGCTTATGCATTTAGTCGAGCAGAATCCACAAAGCTGCTTGTAGCAGAATCATCTGTAACCTCCACAGCATTGCGCCATTAATAGCAAGGTTTGCTCTGGGTCAAACAAAAGCAAGGTAGACTTAATAGGAGAGGAAATGAGGTGGATGCACTCAGCTGGCCTCTCCCCATATGCTCCTACTGTAATTATAGCCTGGTGCAGTTCAGCTCCCTCATTCAGAAGTCTCATCACCAGACTGCATTTCTCATGGCCAAGGTGTAAAAGCCACACACAGAGATGTTATGGCCCCAAGCAAACTGACAGCAGCACAAAGGGAGCAGTGGTAGGGAACCTCAGCTTGTCACTGCCAGGAGCTGGCTGTGTGGCTTGGAATGCAGAAGGGAAAGGAAGGAAGGGTTGGGCTGAAGGAACAAGACCAGGACCGTTATCTGCAGAGAAAGCTGGAGATACCTGATTATGGGTTTGGTTCGTCAGCACAGCCAAGTGCAGATGGGGCTGGTAGAAAGTCCCAGCTATGGTGCTGGCCCCAGTGATGCAGCTCAGAAGGGTGCTTCAAAGGCCAAGGGGTGGCACATGGTCACAGTGGGGTGGATGTGCCCAGCATCCGCCTTCTGGGCCCATCTGCTCCAGTGATCTGCTTTTGTGCTCAGGCTGAAAATGAAGACAACATCCTGTTTTCCTGACCTACAGAGAAAGGGCAGCCCTGGAGGGCATTCCTGTGCCTGGATGGGATAAGAAGCTTTTCCCACTGCCATCAGACTAAGCAAGGGTGTAGCTGCCCTTGGCCTGAGCTCTGTAGTGTGCAGAGGCAGCACTGTGCATTGCAGTGAGACCGGCTCACTGCTCTGAAGTGGACACAGGAGCCAGCAGGGTGCCCAGGACAAATAAACCCCCTCCAGCCCCCACCGCCCTCCCTAAGGAGAACTCCCCCTCACGCTCCTGCTCTCTGGGGGAGCAGGTGCCACAGTGCTTGGTGTGACCCTGTGAAAGCCTCTCCAGACATCCTTAATCACATTCCTCTGGAACAGGGACACATCTGGTACAAACATGATCCTGTCCCCAAGGAGCTTCAGCTAATTCCTGTCATAGAGCCTCAGAGCAGCCCCGGGCAGGGAGAGCTTCGACAGAGCTTTGATCATCACCACCATCACTTTGCAGGGGATGAGGCTGGAGGAGAGTTCCACAGAACCTCTGAGTTCAAGCAGTCCAACACTGAGCTGCCCTGGCCAGACTGACCCAGTCTGAGGTGTGGCTGGGCTACCCGCAGTAGGAATGGGAGAAGGGAGGACCTGCCCTTTTCAAGTGTTGATTTATAAGCTGATTTCAAGGAATTGTGAAACTAGAACAAGGAAAGGACCAGAACTCTGGGATCAGTTTGCACCCTACTGCATTTTCTGTGTGTCCCCTTCCTCTTGCATGCGTGCAGCCTGTGTTAGGAGAGTGCCTTGGCATCTGGTGGTCTACCAGGGTCTGGCATGCTTGATTTTGGGCTGCTGTTCTCAGTAGTTCTCCATCTGTGGTGAACACATTCCTGGCTGTCCTGTGCTTTGGGCAAGGGAGGTTTGGTTGCCTCAGTGAAGCAGCAGGGCCTTGCAGTGGGGCCTGTGATGGTGGCAATGCATAACAGAGCACAGGTGCCCTCCTGCATCTGTGCTTCCCTGTGCCTTTGTCAGGTCCAAGGTATCCTGCCTCTGCTGCCAACTCTCCCAAATGAGATAATCCCAGGGATGACAGTGGAGGAAATCAGTCCTCCACCCTATGAGCACAGTTCGGATGAGCCATTGAGGAAATGGGACCTGCAGCCAAGGTGTCACAGCTCGTCCCCTGGCAGGCGATGGGAGAGCACGTCTGTCAGATGCTTCCTACCCACAGCGGGGCATGCTGGCCTGCCTGCCTCCCAGCAGTGTGCCAGACCCGTGGCAGAAGAGGAAATTAAGACATTGTCTGGAGTCCAGGAGGAATTCCTGCCTCAGCTTGTTCCTGCCAGTCCTCTGCCGACCTTCCCTCGGTGTGGAAAGCCCAGCAGGAAGCTGACTCACTGTCTGCTGCTGCCATGGCTGGGTGCGGGGGCCCTGCTGCCTGCAGCACCAGAGAGCTGCTCCCTTCATGGATGCAGGGATAGCTCACTGCTCAGAGCCACCAGCACCTGCCTGCCCTGGCTGTTCTCTCCCAGAGCCCAGCATCCTGATGACAAGCAGAGCAGAACAGCCATAGCATCCTGGTTCTTGTGCTGTCTGCAGCTGGGCTGAGAGGAGGGTTGGGAGCTCGTTGGGTTGCTGACATTGCTGCCAAACACAGTCGGCACTACTGTGCCAGGTTTGGGGAAGGAGGCAGCCCAGAGGTTGGAGGGGAGGAGCAGGGCTGCAGAGAGGTCCCGGGCTTTTCCTGCATAGTGGGGCTCATGTGACAGGGAGTCAGCAATCACCTGCTTATCAAATCTCTGTGAAAAACCAGGTGGTCACAGCCACCCCTTCCCAGGAGCAGCACCTAAAGCCAGCTAGGAAACAGTTCAGATATTGCGGTTTGCAGATAATGCAGGACTAGTGCTTTAATCCTGTAGCAGAAAGGAACAAATTTCAGGTATAAGTTTCCTGTCAAAATTCTTGCCACTTTTTCTACTGGGTTGATAGAGTACAGGGCTTACAGCATCAATAACTGATGCTCCATTTGGGGAATCCAATCTTTATTAACTGAAGAGCTGGAAAGTTACTTGGTTTGAAGGACTGGGTTAAGCCACCTTCTATTTCCCTCTTGGAAAGTGTCAGTCAACAATAGTGTTAATACTAAAAACCTTGCCCTCTCGAAAGGTTGTATCGATCCCTTTTGCCCTGGATGACAGGAACCATGGCCAAAGTTTCTCCGGAGAAGTCTGGAAGGGGATGTCTGGTGGTGGAGACTTATGATGGCAGGCAGATACAGGAGAAAGAAGTGTGCTCCTCAGCTCTCCTGTGGTCGTGAGGAGCTCCACGGCCCCCTGGTGACCAGCCAGAACTGAGAAGCTTAACAGCCAAAACTGTCTACAGAAACAGCATCAGCAGGAATCCCCTGTTCACCTGAGGAGAAAGCTGGCTGTGGCAGAGACAGCCTGGCAATAAATATGTGTCTGTAAGGAGGACTGTCAAGGACACTGTGAGTAGATCTAATCCCCTTCTCTGACACAGCCTTATGGATGAAAGTATTAGATGTGAGATAAGAACTGCAGTTAGGCTTCTGGCGCCGTCTTGCATGATGTTTTCATAAGACAGGAAAAGCAGTATAGATTAAACTAATCCAGCACAAGTACAGAAGAGCCTGGGTAGTCACGCTCAGGATAGCTCTCAATAACTTGGTATCAAAATGGAAGGACACGTTGACAGTGACTCATATATCAGGAAACTATCAAAAAGCCCAGATAGTGAAGGAGGAAGAGTAGTGGGGTGGTCATCACAGGTTAGACAGTGGCCTCGGTGTGACTGCCCAGTGGCGGGTGTCTGATACTGCCATCTACCTCAGAACCCTCTTTGTGTTTTAAGTAGTTAAAACCTCTCCCATTATGGAGGGACCAATATAATAATAATAATAATAATAATAAATTAAAAAAACTCTTCCCCCACACCTCTCCATTAGATTTCCTTTTTTTTCAGAATAAAGAAATAATTTATGATGGAAAGAAATACTTTCACAGAGCACTTGTGAACTATGATCTGGCCACACTTCGAGCTGTGATCGAGGTCTATCTTTGAACTATGATCTGGGGAAACTTAGCCCAGAGTATTGCTCTTTGCCACTTGTTTCAGATCTCAGAGACATAATTTTGAAGCTCTATCAGGATTCCTGTTAACGGTCTCTCTCACTGCATCATGCTATGATGGTCTGCTGAAGGAACCCCAAACCCGAAATATTCGCTATTCTGGATGACATCAATTGCCCTTACAAAGGTCCGCACTTGGCTCCTGTAGCCGTGTACAGCAGTGGTCCCCGGTCCCCGCCGCGTGTCACCGGCCGCTCGGGCCTCCCCCACCCCAACCCTTCTCAGCACCCTCCTCTCGAGATGCGCGCCTCTTCCTCGCCAGTCTCATCCCGCTCCTGAGCGCTCGGGCACCGGCACGGCCCCTCCGCTGCCGCAGCAGCCGCACTCCCCGCGCCCCGGGGCGGGCGGAGCGGGGCGGAGCGGAGCGGGCGGCCCGGCCGCTCCCCGCTGCCCGCGGCCGGCGAGGCGGAGCCAGCGCGGCGCGGGGCCGGCAAGCCGTGCTCGCCCGGCCGCGGCGATGCGGCGCTGAGAGCCGGCGGCAACGCTTCCGTGGGCGGCTCCGCCGATGGACGCCTCTCTGCGCCAGGTGGGCAGCGGCGGGACGGGCACGGCAGCGGGGCTCGCCCCTGCTCGGGGCTGGGAGAGGCGGGGGCCGGCAGGATTGGGTGTCGGGCGAGACGGGCATCGGGTGCCGTGCCCCGGGCCGGGAGCGCCCCCGGGGCCGTGGGACGCTGCGCTCCCCGCGGGCCGCACCCCCGCTGCCCCCTCGCCGAGGCGGTCCCGGTTGCACTTTCTCTGGAGCGATGGGATGCGGAGGGTTTTGACCCCGGGCTCTCCGCAGCCCGGCGCGGCTCCGCGCAACCCGTGCGAGGGCTTGAAGGGGCTGCGGGAGCCGGAGCCCGACCGATGTGCGGTGCCGGCAACGCCGACCCAGGGCTGCTTGCGGGAGGAGAGGGTTTGTCGCATGATAGTCATGGCTGCCCAGAGCCGGCTCCTTAATCCTCTGGAACGACTTCAGGGTCCGGAGCCTGCTCCTGCCTGCGTGTGCGTGCCACAGAGCGGCTGGCCCCGGGGCACCGGGCCGCCGAGCAGCGTGCGGCGGGACTCCCCGGCCCCTCGGTGTCGCTGGCCAGTCACCGTCACGCCGGCGGGCACAGCGGCTGCCCGGGGCCGGAGCGGTACCTGTTAGCTGCGGGCTCTGGTCCCGCCTGGCCGCGATGCCGTCCCGGGGTGAGCGCCCAGCCGTGCGGGCACTGCGCTGCCACGGGGAGCGGGGGGCTGAGGGCGCGGGGCCGGGCACGGCCCAGACGCCCCGAAATTCTCGGTGCCGTTTTTCTTGCCTGAGCATACGCAGGTTTCCAGCCTGGCCTGGCGATGCCTTTGGTTGTGAGGGGCAGGTGGGTGCAAAGCCGAGGCAGCCCTTTCTGGACCCATGGGTGACGGTGTGTGCCCGTGGCATTGGCAGCGGGTACGGCAGGCACTATGGGGTGACGGGGCCTTCTCGAGGTCTGCGGCTGAGGTCTGAAAGCCTCGTGTTTGGGGCACGACACATCTGCCCCCCTCCAGCTCCCAGATGGTTTCCAGGCCATTAACCCCAGTGTCTGGCCTTGCGAGTCGTGGGTGCGGAGGGGGAGCTAGCAGCGCTCCGGAGCAGCCCGTGGTCGCTGGGCTGGAGCAGCTGATGGGCTGGGGCCTGCCCCCTCCCTGGCGAAGCACTTTCTTTATCAGAACAGATGTTTTCCCAGATCTGGCCCCAGAGAGGAAGGAGTGGCTGCCCCCGGGCTGTGCGGCTGGGGCTGCCCCGCAGCATGCGGCAGCGCATCGCCCAGCATCCTTCAGCCATTAACTGATTAACCTGCTGCTCCTGGAAGTCTGGGCCGTCTGTATCTAATCAAATGAAGGCCAGGGTTCCCCAAAGGGCCATTTCACCAGAGCCTTTGTGCCCACTTGTCTGTCAGGAGGAACCTCCTGGCCTCTTGCAACAGGAGTAGCCACTGAAGAGCCTGAAGGAACTGATGGGAGTGGGAGGCTGGAAAGGGGATACCCCCAGAGGTGCACATCTCTAGCAAAGTAGCACCCATCAGAGAATTGCCTGCTTTGTCCAGCTCTACCTGTCCAGGCATGATTCTGCCATTATCTGAAGAAACAGGGATTTCCAGGGAAGGGCTGAGAGGCAGTCCTGGAGCCAGGGTCTCTTAGAGTCATGCATCTCTTGTAAATCACAGATTTAAGTCCTGATGAAGCAAGGTAGGCTGGAGAACTGGGGTGAGCAAGAAAGTATCAGACTTGGCTTTGCAGGAAAGGCAGTGGGGGTGGGAGAGAGGGAATGTGGCTTCCCCAGAGCCGGAATGTTTGGCATTTGCTGCACCCAGGCCACTCTTCCTCCTTCTCCATGGGGGGTTCTTGGTGGGAGGGAAAGCCTGAGTAGAAGGGAGTTGCTTCACTTCTTTCTGCAGCAGCAGATGAGCTTGTCCCAGGGGATGCGTGTCATGTCTGACAGTGAATAGCTTAAGCCCCAGTTGGTCTTGCCTTAGCAGGCTCCCATGCTGTGCTTGCGGCATTTAGATTATCACACTCAGCTATGTGATCAGTATCTGGGGTTAGGTGGGGGTGCCATGGATCTTCACAGCTCCCCTAGTTCCCCCTTTGCCATGCTGGAGACCAAAATAGTTTTGTGAAGGGTTCAACCTACTTGTCATCCTGTTTCTGCCAAGGGAGGAATAGTTCTGACCAGTTGTGCCAGCTTGAAGCTGTGGAAGGGTTTCCCATGTGCTGTACCCTCCTCTGCTTGCAGACCCCAGGGACAGCGAGCTGCTAGCATGTGTGCTGCTGCTGCTCTTCTGCAGTGTCCCAGGTGGGCCAGATTAGAAAACCTTCATCCTCAGCGAGTGGTACAGCACAGAGATGTGTGTGTGCCTCTGCCATCGGAGGTCTGCTGTGCAGTGTGGCTCAGAGATGTGACAGATGATGACTGCTCCAGCCGGGTGTGAATGGAGGAGCCGTGTGTGTGTGTGCTCTGCCATCTCCTTGCTTGGCTGCTGCAGGGAGTCCTGTGCCCAGGCAGGGAGGAGGGGCCCTGGAGGCCAGGGCTGTGCCATGGTGACAGATGACAGTTTCCCTGTGTGTCTGGAGTGTGGGCAGGATGTGGGGTTGACACAGAGGATGTGACTCGCTCTCCAATTCCCCCGTAAGGAGCAGGAATGTCATGGACAGGGTTAAAGGAGACACTTCTCCCATCCTGTCCTGCACTCCACTTGGAGCGACCAGTTAGCATGGTCCCATAGTCCGTCTGCACTGAGGAGCAGCATCCAGTGAAATTACAGATGCTGTTCTCCTTTTCAAGTGTCACTGGCCTAGAAATGCTGGCATTTTAAGCGTTAAACAGTTTTCCTCTTTGCTCTTGTGGTGAAATCCAAAGCTTTTCATCTGTGTTGTAAAATAAATCCCCTGAAGTTCTTAAGCTTTCTGACATGGGGAGAGAAAGGCGGGGTAATTCTGTGTTCATGTCCTGCATGGCTGTGGTGATTGGAATTGTCCTCTCTACAGCTGTCATGGTCTTTTATTATTTCCCATCTTTCCCTGGCCACAGCCCTTCTCTTCTTTGTGGCCTGGGATATCTGTCTTGGAGACAGGGAGAGGATCTGTCTCTCCCAGGGATACATGCAGACCATGAAGGAGCCTCAGAGTCAAGGCTGTGAAGGAGTACTAAGGCTGCTGTAATTGCTACCAGGCATGCACCTGAGCTGCTTTCTTGGCCCCAAATTGAGGTGGGGAGAAAGTACCTCTGCCAAGTTTCTTTTGCTATGGCAGCTTTGCTCTGACTGCTGACTACTTGATGCAAGCGGAAAGTGCCTGACTACTTCACAAAGCCGTCAGGGAGTCTACAGTGCGGCCCTTTACTGGCCACAAGACACTCACTGAATTTGCTCTGCTTTGGGCATCTAATGGCTTCTTGGTCCCAGCGTAAAGTCACGTGTGTGAACATTTGCAGGCAGGGAACATGGGTAAGGAGAACAACTGAAAGTTCTTGACTGTGAATGCACTTTTGCAGTGTGAAGCCTGCCTGGTTCATGGGTGCAGCAGGTACAGGACTGGTCTGGTTTTTGGTTGCATGTACAATTCTCACCAGATTTGAAGTTCTCTGTTGAAGCTGCTTGGATGAATCATCCAGAGACCTGTGTCCCCAGGGAGCCCAGGTTATGCTGGGTGGGAAGGGTTTGTACATGGCTGGATTAGGTTTCTCAATAGCTTGGTTTGCCCTTCCCATGCTCCCTGCAGTTGGGAGGAGTTCCTGCGATAGAGGAACATGGCCAGATGTCCAGGAGAATCTATCCAGAGACTCTTGTCTGAGATGAGGGAAATGGTTCAGCTGATGTGGATGATGCTGACCATGAATGATGTGCTGTCTTTACAGATAACAGTAAGCTGAATGCCCATGTGTTAACAACCATTGTCTTAGGAAAATGCCAGCTTGGAAAGAAAAGGTAGTAGAACATCGTCTTCTTTAGCAGTGAGGCTGCTCTTTGAAGGAGGTTTCTGGCCAAGCCTCTCTACACCTCTCTCAGGGACATGTGCTTTGCCAGATTCCCCTGATAACCTCCTCTCAATCTACTGAGAGAGTATTGTGATCTCTCAGAAAGAGGACCTGTAGGGATTAAGAAGAGACAGAGAAATGCTGACTGTTACATCCATCTTGTGTATGTAATGCTCTCTGTGTCAATACCAAACAGAGCAACCTCTCTCTGTTCAATTAGCCTGTGTAATGCATCTCAAGAGAAGTACCACTGTTCTTGAAGATATATCCATGCAGTTAGTGTAGCATGCATTCCACTCCTACACGTGGAATCCTCCATCCAAGCTGTGTCTCCACTAAGCCATTCAGAGTGATAAAGAGGCAGATACAGGACAAAAGGGTTCGACTGCCCTGTTTTGGAGCAGCAATTGCAAAGAAGAAAGCTCTTGTGCCAAAGGTGACATGAAGAAGTGTCTGGCAGAAGAGAGGGAGCCCTGCTAGCTCCCTCCTTAGGGCATTCATCTGGAGCCAGGCTGCGTGAGCTGCGACCTTGTCAGATCCCATCAACAGCAACAGGGTGGGCTGGCACGGGCTCTCAATGAGAGCCCCCGCATGAAGGGAAGCCAGGTTGCCCTGGGCCAGCCTGCAGCTGCTCCACTGTGGCCTCCGAAACCACCTTGTTCTGCTCTGGTTTCACTTCTTGCCACACTTACATTTAACATCATGATCACAAATGTTTTGCAATTTCTTTTTCCCGTTTTGCTTTAAGGAGAATATGCCAACTACCTAAATGTGATTATTAAGACTGAAACTTGTGAGAGTCTGGATTTCCTGGTTATCTTTCAGTTACCCTAAACTCTGCAGTTCTGCCTCCTCATTTCCATCTAAGATCACTCACAGTTCAGCAGTGCTGTAGAGCCAAGTCTCAGGAAAAACACCTATGGAGGGCCTGTTATGCATCACTTGGCACAGTGCCCAGGGGACTCAGAGGTCCTGTCATACAAGTGCAGTAATTATCACAGCATTGGAACTGGTGGTGCAACCTCTCACAGATCCAGTTATCAGTGTGTTTGATGAGAAGGTAGAAATTAGGGTTGGGATGAGGGGGATGTATTAGTGTGGTTTATTCCTGTTATTTGCATCTTGAGCCAATGATGAAGATTTGGCTGAACCACATTTTCTAGAAGGGCTTCTTATTTCTGGAGGATCCCCTGCTTTTTGCAGTTTCTTCAAGTGGTTACACAACCTTGTTTTAAAATAAATCCTGCCTCATTTCTAAAGTGTCTGGCAGATCCATCCGTTTTCAGGTCCTACTTTTCTTCTGCTTCATGAGAGTCGCTTTGTCCCAAATAACTTCTCTGTCTGCAAAAAATTATTTTCTGGCACCAGGTTGTCTCTGGGTTGCTGGCAAAGGTGAGCCAGCAGGTAGCAGAGAGGGGTCTCAGTGCTACTGACTGCTGTGTCCTCTCAGCAGGATTGAGTGAGTTGAGGATGCAGGGACAGAAATGAGATTTGCAGCCCATGCTGGGCCACAGGCTGCTCTCATCTCCCCACTATCACTGTCTGGGCTAGATAGGTCAGCCCTAGCTCTGGCAAATCTACATAATGACATTAACATCTTCACAAATACTTTTGCACTACAAGGGATCTTTCTGAATAGCAAAAATGACTAAGCCTTTTATGTTGTCTCTGGAAGGCTTCTTTCTCACACCTCAAAGCATAAGTAAGCAGTAAACTTCCTTACTCCTGTTCATACATCTCAGACATGCATCAGCTCTTGTTGCAACCAAATGTCCTGGGAGTTTCTGCTCAGCAATTCTCAATCCCCTTTGGGTCTGTGACTTTCCAGAAGACATTCCCCTGTTTGAAGTACTCCTTGCATTC